GGAAGTTTTTATTGCATTTATGGATTTAGAAAAGGCATATGATAGAGTGGATAGGGAAGCAGATGTTGCAAATACTATATGGAATATGTGATAAATTACTAAATGCTGTAACGAGTTTTTATGAGGATAGTGAGGCTCAGGTTAGGGTGTGCAGAAAAGAGGGAGACTACTTCAGGGTAAAAGTAAGTCTTAGACAGGGATGTGTAATGTCACCATGGTTGTTTAATATATTTATAGATGGGGTTGTAAAAGAAGTAAATGCTAGGGTGTTTGGGGGAGAGGTGGGATTAAATTATGGGGAATCAAATACAAAATGGGAATTGACACAGTTACTTTTTGCTGATGATACTGTACTTATGGGAGATTCTAAAGAAAAACTGCAAAGGTTAGTCGACGATTTTGGAAGTGTGTTTAAAGGTAGAAAGTTGAAAGTGTACATAGAAAAGAGTAAGGTGATGAGAGTATGAAATTATTTAGATAAAGAAAAACTGAATATCAAATTGGGGAGGAGAGTATGGAAGAAGTGAATGTTTTCAGATATTTGGGAGTTGACGTGTCAGCGGATGGATTGACGAAGGACGTGGTTAATCAGAGAATTGATGAATGAAAAAAGGCGAGTGGTGCATTGAGGTATATGTGGAGACAAAAAATGCTATCTATGGAGGCAAAGAAGGGAATGTATGAAAGTATAGTAGTACAAACACTCTTATATGGGTGTGAAGCATAGGTTGTAAATGCTGCAGCGAGGAGGCGGTTGGAGGCAGTGGAAATTAGGAGAAGGTGAGGAGTTAATAAAAGTATTAGTCAGAGGGCTGAAGAGGGTTGTTGAGGTGGTTTTGTCATTTAGAGAGAATGGATCAAAGTAGAATGACATGAACATATAAATCTGTAGGAGAAGGAAGGCAGAGTAGGGGTCATCCTCAAAAAGGTTGGAGGGACGGGTAAAGGAGGTTTTATGGGCGAGGGGCTTGGATTTCCAGCAAGCGTGTGTGAGCGTGTTAGGAGTGAATGGAGGAGAATGGTATTTGGGACCTGACGAGCTGTTGGAGTGTGAGCAGGGTAATACAGTGGAACCCCGCTTAATGATCACCTCCCAATGCGACCAATTATGTAAGTGTATTTATGTAAGTGCATTTGTACGTGTATGTTTGGGGGTCTGAAATGGACTAATCTACTTCACAATATTCCTTATGGGAACAAATTCGGTCAGTACTGGCACCTGAACATACTTCTGGAATGAAAAAATATCGTTAATCGGGGGTCCACTGTATTTAGTGAAGGGATTCAAGGAAAACCGGTTATTTTTATATTGCCGGACTCGAGTCCTGGAAATGGGAAGTACAATGTCTGCACTTTAAAGGATGGGTTTGGGAAATTGGCAGTTTGGAGGGATATGTTGTGTATCTTTATACGTATATGCTTCTAAACTGTTGTATTCCGAGCACCTCTGCAAAAACAGTGATTATGTGTGAGTAAGGTTAAAGTGTTGAATGATGATGAAAGCATTTCCTTTCTGGGGATTTTCTTTCTTTTTGGTTCACCGTGCCTCGGTGGAAGACGGCCAACTTGTTAAAAAAAAAAAATTTTTTACAGGAGATAAGGTTAGTAGCCCCCTTGCTCCTGGTAATTTAGTCGCCTCTTACAACACACATCTTATGGAGGAAGAACTCTGTTCCACGTCCCCATGGAAATAATGGAAATAAACAAGAACCTGAACTAGTAAAAAAATAAAGAAGAAAACCCAGAGGGATGTGCGTATACTATATGCTTGTACATGTGTGTGTAGTGTGACCAAAGTGTAAGTAGAAGTAGAAAGACATGCATGAAACCTTGCATTTGTACAAGACAAAAAATACACCAGCAATCCTACCATGATATAAAACAATTCTTCTTCTTCTTTCAACGTACCAGCCGTATCCCACTGAGGTGGGGTGGCCCAAAAGAAAAAACTGAAGTTTCTCCTTTTAAATTTAGTAATATATACAGGAGAAGGGGTTACTAGCCCCTTGCTCCCGGCATTTTAGTCGCCTCTTACGACACGCATGGCTTACAGAGGAAGAATTCTGTTCCACTTCCCCATGGAGATAAGAGGAAATAAACAAGAACAAGAATTAGAAAGAAAATAGAAGAAAACCCAGAGGGGTGTGTATATATATGCTTGTACATGTATGTTTAGTGTGACCTAAGTGTAAGTAGAAGTAGCAAGACTTACCTGTAATCTTGCATATTTATGAGACAGACAAAAGACACCAGCAATCCTGCCATCATGTAAAACAATTACAGGCTTTCGTTTTACACTCACTTGGCAGGACGGTAGTACCTCCCTGCGTGGCTGCTCTCTACCATTATGATTAATGTTCAAATGTACCAAGGGCTCAACAAAGAGAGGTCATGACTCGACAATATACCAGTGTGCCACACTCAACAACACAGCTAACAGAAGAAAGTAAAGGTGTATACTAGTAAAAAGTAATTTTATAGGTAATGAATGGAGAAAATTGTTAACAAAAATGTTTAGAACTATCATATTTTTTGCAAGCAGTCTTCAGCTCATATACCTGTAAATAAATTTTAACACTCTGATTCTCTAAAATGTAACTCCTACATTACACAAGGGTAACTATACATAATACTTTCGTCTAAATACAGTTGACCCCAGGTTAACGATATTTTTTCATTCCAGAAGTATGTTCAGGTGCCAGTACTGACCGAATTTGTTCCCATAAGGAATACTGTGAAGTAGATTAGTCCATTTCAGACCCCCAAACATACACGTACAAACGCACTTACATAATTGGTCGCATTGGGAGGTGATTGTTAAGCGGGGGGTCCACTGTATTAGGTTGTTCTTCTAAGCATATTAAAGATCACAATGTATTTATATTATATTGACCCCAGTGAGGTGTTCAGGCACAGGGGGGGGGGGGGTCATGAAAAAAGAATTGTAATAAGCCCTATCCCCCTTTCTCTCCAATGATTATTACTGTCTTTTTCTTTTTCCAACATACCAGCTATCTCTTACCAAGACAGGATGACCCAAAAAAAAAGATGAAAACTAACATTTTTCTTCTTTTTCACATTTAAAAATTTATACAGGAGGAGAGGTTACTAGCCCCTCATTCCTGGAACCTTTGTTGCCATTTATGACATGCATGGCTTATGGAAGAAAGATTCTTTTCCACTTCCCCATGGAAATGATATGAAATAAGATGGCCTATGCATTGAAAAAAAATTAAGAAAATAGAAGAAAACTCAAATGGGTGTGTGTGCTTTCATGAATGGGTGGATATGCTTTCATGTAGTGTGACCTAAATTTAAGTAGAAATAGCAAGATGTACCTGTTATCTTGAAGGTTCATGTGAGAAAGAAAAGACCTGCAATCCTACCACTGTGTAAAGCTATTACAGGTTTCTATTTCATGCTCATTTGCCAGAATGGTAGTACCTCCCTGGGTGGTTGCTATTTATTACTTTACATATGAAATAGATAGTAAATTACTAAAAGCTGTAAAGTTTTTATCAGGATACTGAGGCTCAGATTAGGATATGTAGGAGAGAAGCAGACTACTTTCCAGTAAAAGTAGGCCTTAGATAGGAATGTGTGATGTCACCATGGTTGTTTAAACATATTTAGAGATGGAGTTGTAAAAAAAGTAAATGCTTGGGTATTGGGGAAAGGGGTAGGATTAAATTATACAGAATTAAATATGAAGTAAGAGTTGATACAGTTGCATATAGCTGATGATACTGTGCTTTTGGAGTTTCTGAAGAGAAGCTGCAAAGCTTAGTGGACAAGTTTGGGAGGGTGTGCAAAAGTTGAAAGTGAAGATAGGTAAGGGTAATGTGATGAGAGTATCAAACAAATTAAAAAAAGAAAAATTGGATATCAGACTGGAGGGAGGAAGGGAGCACAGAAGTGAATGTGTTTAGAGATTTGGGAGTGGACGTGTTGGTGGATGGGCATGTGAAGGATGAAGTAAACTAAAGAATTAAAGAGTAAACGGGGTAAAGGTGGTTTTGTGGGCGAAGGGCATGGACTTCCAGCAAGCATGCAAGAGCGTGCTGGAAAGGAGTGAATGGGGACGAGTGGTTTTTGGGACCTGATGAGCTGTTGGAGTGTGAGCAAGGTAATATTTTGTGAAGGGATTCAGGGAAACCAGTTAGTCGGACTTGAGTCCTGGAAATGGAAAGTACAATGCCTGCACTTTAAATGGCCGGTGTAAAGGGAGGAGGTGCACTGGCATATCTGTAGAGACAAAGAAGGGGATTTATGAAAGCATATTGGTACCAACACTGTTATATGGGTGTGAAGCATGGGTTGTGAATATTGAAGCGAGGAGGAGGCTTTTGGCAGTGGAGATGTCGTGACTATGGGCAATGTGTGGCATAAACATTATGCAAAGAATGTGTAGTGTGGAAATTAGGAGGTGCGCAGTTACTTAAAGTATTATTCAGAGGGCTGAGGAGGGATTGTTGAGGAGGTTTGGTCATTTAAAAAAGGCTGGAGCAACTAGGATGACTTGGAAGGTACAAAAATCTATAGTGGAGGGAAATCAGGGTAACAGTCATCCTAGGAATGGATGGAACAGGCACACTCACATGTGCCTGTTGTATGCCTGTTGGACATGCAACAGGCACATGTGAGTGTGAGCATGTTAGACAGGAGTGGAGACAAATGGTTTTTGGGACTTGAGCTGTTGGAGTGTGAGTAGGGTAATATTTTGTGAAGGGATTCTAGGAAACCAGTTAGCTGTCATGTAGGTGGAAAGTTCATTGCCTACACTCTAAAGGAAGGGTTTGTGATATTTGCTGTATCGAGTGGCATCTAAGCTGTCGGATCTGCATGCCTCTGGCAAGACTGGCTATGATAGTGTGAATGATAGTGAAACTTTCTTTTCTGGGTCACCCTGCCTTGGTAATAGTTAACCAGCGTATTAAAAAAAAAAAAACTCAATATCTATGAGTGACAAAGCATCATATCAAAGTATATTGATAGCCTACCCCATGGTGAGTGCGATACTGGTCCATAAAGTCAGAAACTGCAGCCTGGGCTGCAGAATTGTTTGTGGCATCAGGGAGGAACTGACCAAACTCTTGCAACAAATCTTCTTGGTTTTCAAATAGCTTAGCAACCTGTATAGGGAAGAATTATTATTAATTACAACAAACTTACATCATAAGTTGTAAGAGTAACAGGCATATTTGCCTTTTTCTTTTTTTTCTAAGTTGATGGCAAATAATGCATACTCAAAATATTCTTTATACTGCTTATCTACCCTGTTTTTCCTGCTCCTTCACATCATCTTTAATACCTCTCCCTCCTACCATGCTCAACACCCACTCCTTTCCCACCATGCTGCCTCTCACTGCTTCCTCTCAATCCCCCCATCCCACAACTGGTAACAATATACAGTGGAACCTTGACTTACGAGTTTAATCCATTCCAGGAGCTAGCTCATAACTCAATTCACTCATTTTTTTTTTTCAACAAGTCGGCCGTCTCCCACTGAGGCAGGGCGATCCAAAAAAGAAAGAAAATCCCCAAAAAGAAAATACTTTCATCATTATTCAACACTTTCACCACACTCACACATTATCACTGTTTTTGCAGAGGTGCTCAGAATACAACAGTTTAGAAGCATACACATATAAAGATACACAACATATCCCTCCAAACTGCCAATATCCCAAACCCCCCCTTTAAAGTGCAGGCATTGTACTTCCCATTTCCAGGACTCAAGTCCGACTATATGAAAATGACCGGTTTCCCTGAATCCCTTCACTAAATATTACCCTGCTCACACTCCAACAGATCGTCAGGTCCAAAGTATCATTCGTCTCCATTCACTCCTATCTAACACGCTCACGCACGCTTGCTGGAAGTCCAAGCCCCTTGCCCACAAAACCTCCTTTACCCCCTCTCTCCAACCCTTTCGAGGACGACCCCTACCCCGCCTTCCTTCCCCTATAGATTAATATGCTTTCCATGTCATTCTACTTTGATCCATTCTCTCTAAATGACCAAACCACCTCAACAACCCCTCTTCTGCCCTCTGATAAATACTTCTATTAACTCCACACCTTTTCCTAATTTCCACACTCCGAATTTTCTGCATAATATTTACACCACACATTGCCCTTAAACAGGACATCTCCACTGCCTCCAACCATCTCCTCGCTGCTGCATTTACCACCCAAGTAGTGTTGGTACTACTATACTTTCATACATTCCCTTCTTTTCCTCCATAGATAACGTTTTTTGACTCCACATATTCCTCAACGCACGACTCACCTTTTTTCCCTCATCAATTCTATGATTAACCTCATCCTTCATAAATCCATCTGCCGACATGTCAACTCCCAAGTATCTGAAAACATTCACTTCTTCCATACTCCTCCTCCCCAATTTGATATCCAATTTTTCTTTATCTAAATCATTTGATACCCTCATCACCTTACTCTTTTCTATGTTCACTTTCAACTTTCTACCTTTACACACACTTCCAAACTCATCCACTAACCTTTGCAATTTTTCTTTAGAATCTCCCATAAGCACAGTATCATCAGCAAAAAGTAACTGTCAATTCCCATTTTGAATTTGATTCCCCAAAATTTAATCCCACCCCTCTCCCGAACACCCTAGCATTTACTTCCTTTACAACCCCATCTATAAATATATTAAACAACCATGGTGACATTACACATCCCTGTCTAAGACCTACTTTTACCAGGAAGTAGTCTCCCTCTCTTCTACACACCCTAACCTGAGCCTCACTATCCTCATAAAAACTCTTTACAGCATTTAATAGCTTACCACCTATTCCATATACTTGCAACATCTGCCACATTGCTCCTCTATCCACTCTATCATATGCCTTTTCTAAATCCATAAATGCAATAAAAATTTCCCTACCTTTATCTAAATACTGTTCACATATATGCTTCAATGTAAACACTTGATCTACACATCCCCTACCCACTCTGAAACCTCCTTGCTCATCCGCAATCCTACATTCTGTCTTACCTCTAATTCTTTTAATTATAACCCTACCGTACACTTTTCCTGGTATACTCAGTAAACTTATTCCTCATACACTCATACATGAAATTAATTTTCCTCATTTAACCCCTTGACTGTCGCAACCCCAAATTCTGAGTTGTCTCCTGGTGTTGCAAAATTTCCAACAAAAATAAAAAAATTTTTTTTTTTTCTTATGAAATGATAGAGAATCTTTTCCAGATTGTAATGACACCAAAAGAATGAAATTGATGGAAAACTGATGGAATTATGCTCTCGCGAAGTTAGCGACCTCAGCTATATTTACGAATCGGCGATTTCGTCCACTTTGAGCCTTATTTTCAGCTAATTCCATTATTCCAGTAGACCAAACACATAGCTATTTCTTTAGAACTCCATTTTTTCTATCGACTGAGTACAAGAAACTGCCTATTTACTAATTTCAACTACCCAATAACATGGTCAGAAATTTGCAATTTGGCCAGTTTTGCAAAAATTAAAAAATATAACAATTTCAAAATAGGGTCCAGAATGAACACTGCAGACATTCCTGGCTCAAAAATAACATTTTCTTTGTTCATCAGTCATGTCTCCTGGGCCCTCTGATATTACTCTAGCTTTCTATTTTGAATTTTTATTCAAACAAAAAATAGAAGAAATACTGTTATGCAGACTACTGCAATATTGTAATAATTGTATAAATAAAGTCAACCCATTCATGACTGCATATTAGAATGGCCACTTGGACATTTATTGGAAAATGACATCATTTGTTTACTTTTGAACATCGGAAAAAATCAAACATTTCCCCAACTGAGCTCCATTTCAAGGTTCTTTTCATAGTAAAACCAATCAAAATCACCTCTATTTCTATAATATGTTTTCCATTCTATCAAATGAGACCAAGAAAACGAGAATACAACCATAAATACTATACGAAACTAGACCACAAAGTCGGCATTTTAATAAAAAAAAAAATGGTCGGAGTTTTTTTTTCTCATTATGCACTGCGTGCTGCAGGATTTTTTTTATATGGTGCACACTAACCACACAGACCCATTCTCTCACATATGGGCCTACCAGCTTTCTCCTGCTTGATTTGAAGCCGCTAGAATTTATGAGTATATATACGTCAAAAACAGTGGCTCGTAAGACGTATATACACAACCAAAACAGTCAAAGGGTTAAATTAATTGAAAAGCCATTAATCTGTTCCTGGACTCTGGAGAGACGAGAAAAAATACTTGAATATGATGCTATTATCAACTGTACGGCTTATTTATCTATCACAATTCATCTAATATGACATAATAAACGATAAAATTGACACAGAAATATGATATATACTTTAGAATAAATAAAATAGACCATAATATGGTGGCGGTGGCAGAGGCGTCCACCATATCTGTTTAACTTTGACTATAGCATCTTCCCATGTTCTTACTGTGAGAGAAAACGTAGTATTTTTGAGGCTAACTGCAGTAGATCACTAGTTTTCTAAGGAAAACGCTAAAACAATGTATTTATAAATAAGAGATATCGTATAAAAACTGTTGGTAAAAAGTGTACATGTACTTACACACTTGGAGTAGAGATGGTGGGAGAGGCTGAGGGTGGGGGATGCTGAGGGTGGGGGATACTGAGAGTGGGGGATGCTGAGGGTGGGGGATGCTGAGGGTGGGGGATGCTGAGGGTGGGGGATGCTGAGGGTGTGGCGTATGATGTATTGCCTGGCTAAGTCCATGGAAATCATTGTCTTTTTCTTCTCAGCACTGTTCTTTGCACTTACTTTCTTAGGACCCATGGTTAGAAAAAAAAAATTAGACAAATGACTAAAAAATGGAAGCAAGCATGAGAGAACTGCTCCCACAGCAATGTAAACATGTGAACGATGTTATGGCATCAGATATGCCATCTAGCGGCAGCATTCTGAATTATTATTACAAATGTATTATGAATTATTATCATTATTAATTTCGGGAACAGAAGCTCTACCATTACAATAATTACTATTGCAATTATTTTTTTTTTTAACAAGTCGGCCGTCTCCCACCGAGCCAGGGTGATCCAAAAAGAAAGGAAATCCCCAAAAAGAAAATACTTTCATCATCATTCAACACTTTCACCTCACTCACACAATTACGGTTTTTGCAGAGGTGCTCAGAATACAACAGTTTAGAAGCATATATGTATAAATACACACAACATGTCCCTCCAAACTGTCAATGTCCCAAACCCATCCTTTAAAGTGCAGGCATTGTACTTCCCATTTCCAGGACTCAAGTCCAGCTATATAAAAATAACCGGTTCCCCTGAATCCCTTCACTAAATATTACCCAGCTCACAACCCCAACAGGTCGTCAGGTCCCAAATACCATTCGTCTCCATTCACTCCTAACACTCTCACGCACGCTTGCTGATAGTCCAAGCCCCTCGCCCACAAAACCTCCTTTACCCCCTCCCTCCAACCTTTTCGAAGACGACTCCTATCCCCGCCTTCCTTCCCCTACAGATTTATATGCTCTCCATGTCATTCTACTGTGATCCATTCTCTCTATATGACCAAACCACCTCAACAATCCCTCTTCAGCCCTCTGAATAATACTTTCAATAACTCCACACCTTCTCCTAATTTCCACACTCCGAATTTTCTGCATAATATTTACACCACACATTGCCCTTAGACAGGACATCTCCACTACCTCCAACCGACTCCTCGCTGCAGCATTTACAACCCAAGCTTCACACCCATATAAGTGTTGGTACTACTATACTTTCAGACATTCCCTTCTTTGCCTCCATAGATAGCATTTTTTGTCTCCACATATACCTCAATGCACCACTCGCCTTTTTTCATTCATCAATTCTCTGATTAACCACGTCCTTCGTAAATCCAGCCGCTGACACGTCAACTCCCAAATATCTGAAAACATTCACTTCTTCCATACTCTCCTCCCCAATTTGATATTCAGCTTTTCTTTATCTAAATAATTTCATACTCTCATCATCTTACTCTTTTCTATGTACACTTTCAACTTTCTACCTTTAAACACACTTTCAAAATCGTCCACTAACCTTTGCAGTTTTTCTTTAGAATCTCCCATAAGCACAGTATCATCAGCAAAAAGTAACTGTGTCAATTCCCATTTTGTATTTGATTCCCCATAATTTAATCCAACCCCTCTCCTGAACACCCTAGCATTTACTTCGTTTACAACCCCATCTATAAATATATTAAACAACCATGGTGTCATTATACATCCCTGTCTAAGACGCACCTTTACTGGAAAGTAGTCTCCCTCTCTTCTACACACCCTAACCTGAGCCTCACTATCCTCATAAAAACTCTTTACAGCATTTATTAACTTACTGCCTATTCCATATACTGGCAACATCTGCCACATTGCTCCCATTTCCACTATCACATGCATTTTCTAAACCCATTAATGCAATAAAAACTTCCCTACCTTTATCTAAATACTTTTTCACATATATGCTTCAATGTAAACACTTGATCTACACATCCCCTACCAACTCTAAAAACTTTTAACATTTCTGTCATGATCCCATCAGTTTCAGCTGCTCTACTCCTATTCCTTCTATGTAATGCCTCACGCACCTCCCCCACACTCACATCCTGCTCTTCTTCACTCCTAAAAGATGGTATACCTCCCTGGCCAGTGCATGAAATTACCGCCTCCCTTTCTTCGTCAACATTTAAAAGTTCCTCAAAATATTCTCGCCATCTACCCAATACCTCCATCTCCCCATCTAACTCCCCCACTCTGTTTTTAACTGACAAATCCATTCCTTCCCTAGGCTTTCTTAACTTGTTTAACTCACTCCAAAATTTTTCTTATTTTCATTAAAATTTCTTGACAGTGCCTCTCCCACTATCTGCTCTCATTTTGCACTCTCACCACTCTCTTCACCTTTCCTTTACTCTCCATACACTCTACTCTTCTTATAACACCATAAAAACCTCTCATAAGCTACCTTTTTCTCTTTTATCACATTCCACCAATCACTCCTCTTCCCTCCTGCACCCACCTTCCTATAACCACAAACTTCTGCCCCACATTTTAATACAGGCCGGCCATCACTAATTCAGCAATCAGTTATCCAGTTCCATCAGTAATCCGGCACTAATTTCATCTAGCATAATTTCAAATTTCATCATTATACTGACTCAGGAATTGCGCAGTTTGTTGTAAATCCACAGCAGCAAGCCAGTGGAGGAGAAAGCAGTGATGAAAATGAGGAAGATGTAGCAGAAAGTCTCTCTACTGACAGGTTAAGTGCATTCTAACCTAACCACTCTGTAATCCGGCAAACTCGCTAATCCGGCACACTACAGGTCCCAGTGATGCCTGATTAGTGATGGCCGACCTGTACTGCATTTTTAAAACTATTCCAACCCTCTTCAACCTCCCCACTACTAATATAATTATTATATAAGTATGATTATTCTTATTACAACTATTATTATTGTTATTAATTTAGAGAACTGAAGCTATATCATAATTATTATTATTAATTTAGGAAACTAAAGCTCTATCATTATAATAGTAATAATAATAATATATTATTATTATTAATTTAGGCCAGCAGTAACAGACTGGTTGATCAAACCCTGATCCACCATGAGGCCTGGTCTCAGACCAGGCCATGGGGGCATTGACCCCCAAAACCCTCTCCAGGTAAACTCCAGGGAACTGAAGCTCTATCATTATAATAATAATAATAATAATTATTATTATTATTATTATTATTAATTTAGGGAACTGGAGCACAGATCCAATTCCCTAGATGAAGAGCCCAGGAACCTTGATGCTGGTGAAGGACTCTTGATCTAGGGAATTGGATCTGTGCTCCAGTTACCTAAATTAATAACACTAATAATAATCATAACAATAATAACAATAATTATTATTATAATAACGAAGTCCGCCAACTCAGTTCACTGTTTACCTCGCTGTGGGAGCAGTTCTCTTATGCTCTGCTTAGATTTTTGACAGTCATTTGACTAAATTTCATTTTTCTAAGCATGGGTCCTAAGAAAATAAGTGTAAAGGGCAGTGATGAGAACAAAAAGAAAATAATTTCCATGGAATTAAAGCATGAAATCATAGATAAACCAGTGAGGTGTCCAGGTTTTGGGTTGAGAGGGAAGCGGGGGGAGCGGGCTCGTAACTCAGAGCAAAAAATCAACCCAGGGATGGCTCGTATCTCAAAAACCTCGTACAATGGGACACTCCTAAGTCAAGGTTCCACTGTACAGTGCAAAATGTTAATAAGCTAGCATTTTATTCCTTATATGACAAGAGCTTTAGGACTCATGATTACTGCCCACTCCATTCCTCACAAAAATTAATATAACTGCATAATTCATAAAAACCCTTCTGTTGTACAGTAGAACCTCTACTTACGAGTGCATCCACGAGTAAGTTTTTCCAGATACGAGCAGTCGCTTGGTCGATTTTTTTTACTTCCAGATGCGAGCAGGCCTCAAGGGAGGTTCCTTGACATTGGTGAGGGGCTCTTGCTCTTGATCTAGGGAATTGTATCTCAGTTGTTTGTTGGACTATCTTCTTGAAACTTGGGAAATGTATGATGGAAAGATGATTCTTAACGTACACCAAAAATTAAACAAATCGGACCATAAATAACGGAGTTCACTTCTCAGCCATTAGCCTCCCCTTAGCAGTATATTTTTGTATGGTTTTTATGGTTGTATTCTCGTTATATGGGCCTCATTTGACAGAATGGAAGATATACTACAGAAATAGATATGATTTTGATTGGTTTCAAGACAAAAAGTACCTTGAAATTGAGCTCAAAGTAGCAGAAATGTTCGAGTCTTTGGCGATGTTCAAGAGTAAGCAAATGGCATCACTGTCCAATACCTGTCTGACTGGCACTGCCCCTCAACCTTCACATATTGGAAAGCTCTTCAACATGACAGCAAAAGTGGGAGCAGACATCATGAGGTAGCAGTGGTAGACAACATGAAATGCAGTGGCAGACAACATGAAGCAGCAGTGGCAGACATCATGAAGTAGCAGTGGCAGACAACATAAAGCAGCAGTGGCAGACAACATGAAGCAGCAGTGGCAGACATGAAACAGCAGTGGCAGACATCATGAAACAGCAGTGGCAGACATCATGAAGCAGCAGTGGCAGACAACATGAAGCAGCAGTGGAAGACAACATGAGGCAGAAGTGGCAGACATCATGAGGCAGAAGTGGCAAACATCATGAGGCAGCAGAGGCAGACATCATGAGACAGCAGTGGCAGACATCATGAAGTAGCAGTGCCAGACAACATGAAATAGCAGTGGCAGACATCATGAAGCAGCAGTGGCAGACATCATGAGGCAGCAGTGACAGAACATGAAGCAGCAGTGGCAGACCTTGTACCCTGAAAACAACCTTGTTGTACCCTATACTATAAGTGAGTTTCCGAATGCCACCATGAGACGGCAGTATCAAAACAATGCTCAGTCCACTCCACTCGCTGTGAAGGGAATTCTTGTGCTTTCTTTAAGTTTCTTGCAGTTATTTCTTGTTTCTAACCATGGGTCCTAAGAAAGCAAGTGCAAAGGACAGTAATGAGAAGAAAAAGAGGATTATTTCCATGGAATTAAAGCAGGAAATCATAGATAAACTAGGTGGAGGGTTAAGGACTTGGCCAGGTAGTACCAGTGTACCCCTTCTATGATATGTACAATACTAGGCAGCAAGGAGTCAGTGACAAAGTGTAGCATTAAGAGTGTAGCAATTATAAGTCACTATGACTTTTTTGGGTTATCCTAGGTTCTCTACACATGTAGTAAGGAGCAGGAATGGCTGTTGTGGTGGCCCTGTAAACCCCAACAATGGCCGCTGTCACTACTACTAGCCACTTACATAATGACATGTATTTTATTCACTGTAGTGTATATATCATGTTTCTATGTTATTAATAATGTTTATTATGTCACATTACATGAATTATAATAGATAAATAAGCCACAGAGTTGATATAAGGGAAATATTGAACTTTGTGTCATGCCTGGAATTCCACTGGAATGCATTAATTCCATTTCTGCAAACAAGCAAATCCAGATGCGAGCAAGGTCACGGAACGGATTAAACTCCTAAGTAGAGTTTCCACTGTACTTGTTAAATGTATGAAGCAGATTAATTCATACATGTCTTTACACTTAAATTTTCTTTCTTTATACAGCAGAATTCATGACATTTCACATTAAATTTAAACTTGTGCTCCACCTTAATTACGTATCATCAGTTTGCATACTGTTATTCTGCACTACGGACATAACTGTTTACCTTCTCATACACCTCAGTTTCAGTAAGCGTTCTAGTAGGTATGGATCCACCATCCTTGATGTGTCGTTGCTCTTTCTGGTATGTGTGAAGGATTTCTAGGAACTGCTTGTAAATGTCTGGTTGACCTTGAAACCGTAACTGAAAAACAAAGCATTTATAAGCAGGTGTAACCAAACACTATAAATTAACGAGTTACTGAAAAAATTTGTGAAGAGCAAAATACAAAAAGATTTTTAACCTTTCCTTTTTTTACCTGACTTGGAAAAAGATACGAGGATTTAAAATAGTGGATAAAAAAAAGTTAAAAGCAAAAAACTATTTAAAATTTCTAAGATAATGGTAAGAGAAATAATTTAGCCCTATCAAATCTTTGGACATCACAATGGGGCCTTTTTTTATTTTATAAAATTGAGTATAAAACCTACCCGGTTAGCCTGACTTGAGTGTTTGAAGTGGATAATTCAATGAGTGTATTTTCAACAAAATTCTTGAATGAACAGTCAGCCAGATGAAATATGACTGAATTTTTCTTCATTTTTTCTTCACATTATATTGTATAATTTTTTAATAAACCAGCCATCTCCTGTCAAGGCAAAGTGACCCAAAAAAATCACTTAACTCCTCTCACTCCTGTTTAACGTGCACTCACACGTGTGATGAATGGTTTTGAAAACCAACAAGCTGAAGAATTGAGACACTTATGCAACATATGGGAATCTCTATTGAAGAAAAGTTTTGCGCCACACAGTGGCTTCATCAGTCCAATACAAAGTAAAAATGGGTAAGGAGAAGAGGAGATTGAGGTAATCAGTCCCTCAGCCTGGAATCGATGTGTTCAGTCCATCACTCTCAATCTCCTCCTCTCCTTGCCCATTTCTGCTTTGTATGGGACTGATGAAGCTACTGTGGCGCAAAACTTTTCTTCAATAGAGATTCCCATATGTTGCACAAGTGTCTCAATTCTTCAACTTGTCGGTTTTCAAAACCATTCATCACATCTGTCATACACTGCAATATCACGGGATCTTGGTACAAAAACTTCTTCAACGTTTGTCCAATCTTTGGACGACGACCTACTTACACCAGTGGAAGATCCCACCGAGATCCCGCTTCCTCCTGCTTTGACTCGCCTGTCTGCAGTATATAAGCCACCTCTCTGGCCCTATGCTGTACTTCCTACAAGAGTGATGGACTGAAGACATCAGTCCAATACTTCGTATTGGACTGATGAGGCCACAGTGTGGCGAAATGTTTCTTCAATAAAGATTTCCATGTGTTGCACAAGTGATTCATTGCTCTCACACGCCAGTTGGATGTCTAAACCTGTTGCACACAAAGCCTCCATTAACCCCTCCCTCCAACCTTTCCTAGAGTGATTGCTACCCCTCATTCCTGCTGCTTCAAATTTATATATCCTCTAAGTCATCCTAATTTGCCATTCTCTCTAAATGAACAAACCATTTCAATAACCCCTCCTCAGCCCTCTGGATAATACTTTTAGTAACCCCCACAATTCCTGTTATTTCCAAATCACAAATTCTCTGAATAATATTTACACCACACATTGCCCTCAGACATGACATCACTGCCTCCAGCTTCCTCCTCACTGCAACATTTAAAACCCACACTTCACACCCATAAATGTTGGTACCACTATACTCTGGTACATTACATTCCCTTTTATGATTCCATGGAAAAGGTTCTTTGCCTAAACAGGTGTCTCAATGTAATACCCACCTTTTTCCATTAATCATTTCTATGGTTAACCTCATCTTTCATAGATCCATCTGCCAACAAGTCCATTCCCAAATATCCAAACTCATTCATTTCATACTCTCTCCTTCTAATCTGGTATCTAATCTTTCATTACATTAACTTTTTGTTACTCTCATCACCCTGCTCTTTCCTAAGTTCTCTTTTCATTTCCTTCTTTTACATACCTTTGCAACTTCTCTACAGAATCTCCCAAAAGCACCATGTTATCAGTAAAAAGCATCTGTGATAACTCCCACTCAACACAGTAGCATTCACCTTTTATAATCCCATCTAAAAAATATGTTAAAGAACCATGGTGATATCACATATTCCTGTCTAAGGTCTACCTCTACTGGAAAATAATCTACCTCACTCCTACATACCCCACCCTAAGGCTCACTATCTTCATAAAAATTAATTATTATAATTAACTTACCACCCTTTACATACACTTGCAACATCTGCCACAATGCTCCCCCTTTCCACCACATTATATGCCTTTTCTAAATCCATAAACGCAATGAAAACTTCCTCACCAATATCTAGGTATTGTTTGCTTTTATGCTTCAATGTAAATTCCCTACCCTTCCTAAAACGTTGCTCATCTCCAATACTCCTCTCTGTATTACTCATCTTCTTTCAAAAATAACTACCATACACTTTACCTGGTATACTCAACAGACTTCTTCTATAATTCTTATACTCTCTTTTATCCTTTTTTCCTTTATACAAAGGAATTATGCATGCTCTCTGCCAATCCCTAGGTACCTTTCCCTTTTCATACATTTACTGAACAAATGAATGTTAAATACAAATGTAAAAAATTTAAATGTATGTAAAATCAATAATCCTTAACAAAAAATTCCATGAAATAAGACAATGAATATGACTTGGGAATGTATCTCTGAAAATCACTTAAAAGTCTATGTGAAAACAGTTTTGAGGACTGAACAATCAACTTGCAAATAATTTTCATAAATTCATTAATGCTCTAAGCAGAGGACTAATTATATATCAGATGCCACAATATTTTTAAATCTGACAGTGCAGTAAAGTTTTTCTGCTAATCACTCAATTTTGCACTTTCAAAGCTCTGAATATTTTTTTATAAACAGTAATTCCTGCATTGTGCACATGAAGGTTTCCTTGCTAACATGTAAAGAGGCTTTTTTTTTTTAACATGTTATTAGCTATTATTTTTATGCTGAAGGATGCACTAATTTAAATTGTCTAGCAATATTTTAGGGCCATTATTATTTTAGACAGGGATGTGTAACATCACCATAGATGTTTAACATATTTATAGATGGGGTTGTAAAAGAAGTAAATGCTAGGGTGTTGAGGAGAGGGGTGGGATTAAATTATGGGGAATCAAATACAAAATGGGAGTTGACACAGGTACTTTTTGCTGACGATTCTAAAGAAAAGTTGCAAAGGCTAGTGGATGAGGTTGGGAGGGTGTGTAAAGGAAGAAAGTTAAAAGTGGACATAGATATGAGTAAGGTGATGAGGGTATCAAATGATTTAGATAAAGAAAAATTGGATATCACATTGGAGAGAGGGAGTACGGAAGTAATGAATGTTTTCAGATATCTGGGAGTTGACTTCTCAGTGGATGAATTTATGAAGGATGAGGTTAACCATAGAATTGATGAAGGAAAAAAGGTTAATGGTGCTTTGTTGTATCTGTGGAGGGAAAAACAAAATTGTTATTGTTACCCATGGAGACAGAGAAGGGAATGTACGAGAGTATAGTAGTACCAACACTCTCACATGGGTGTGAAGCACGAGTTGTAAATGCTCCAACAAGGAGGAGGCTGGAGGCAGTGGAAATGTTGTGTCTAAGAGCAATGTGTGGTGTATATATTATGCAGAGAACTCATAGTGTGGAAATTAGGAGATGTGGAGTTACTAAATGTATTAGAGGGCTGAAGAGGGGTTGTTGAGGTGGTCTGGTCATTTAGAGAATGGAACAAAGTAGAATGACTTGAAGAGCATATAAATCTAGAGTGGAAGGAAGGTTGGGTGGGGGTCATCCTAGGAAAGGTTTGAGGGAGGGGGTACAGAAGGTTTCATGAGGGGCTTGGACTTACAGCAAGAATGCACGTGTGTGTTAGATAGGAGTGAATGGAGACAAATAGTTTTTGGCACCTGATGAGCTGCTGGAGTGTAAGCAAGGTAATATATTATGAAGGGATTCAGGGAAACCGGTTAGCCGGACTTGAGTTTTGGAGGTGGGAAGTACAATGCCTGTACTTTAGACGGGTTTTGGTTACTGTATGTTTGGAGTGACATCTAAATTGTCATATCTGAGTGCTCTGCAAAGACAGTGATTATGTATGAGTGATGGTGAAAGTGATGAATGATGATGAAAGTTTTTTCTTTCTTTTTGGGTTTTACTTTTCTTTTTTTTTTTTTTGGGTCACCCTGCCTCAATGGGAAATGGCTGATGTGTTAAAAAAAAAAAAAAAAGTATTTGTTAGTTTGTGCGCCTTTTCTCAAAGCAAATAAAGGGTGGATTTATCTATCCTTTCTGATAGGAGTATTAACCATCTGGTGAAAGCTTTTTGTAAAGAAACAAGCATGGCCTTAGGGTGGTGTATTTTAATATTTTAAATGCCCCTAGACAAGTCTTTGACTTCTAGCTGCCAGCATATATTTACATAACGTAATAACTGAGTTACAAAAATGAAAAACTTTTCAAGGTTCACACAAAACCTGAATCCTTTTCAATATCGGGCAAGAGACATGCACAGGTGCCCAGTACCCTGTACCGAGGTACAGTGCTTGTTTTATTTACAGCTCAAAACATTAGTCACAAATAAATTACTGGACTGTCTTAATATTTACAAAGATTCTTCATGCCAGTAAAAATTATTTTGTAGAAGTTGCTGCTCTTTCAAACTTCAGAACATTTATTCTCTAACAGTCAATGATCCTCATCTTTTGATAATAGATTTCAGCGATATACAAACAAAAACTAGAGAGAAAAAGTAACAAATTAAACTTATTCTTACCTTAATTTTATTAACATAATTGATGGCATGGTTGAACTCCACAGGTTGTGCTGGAGGCTGGTGGTGGTGGTGGTGATGCTGGTGTGGAGGGGGTGGCTGGGGTTCACGACTAGGGTGCTGGGGAGCAGTGTTGGTAGAGTGCTGTGTACTCCCTGCAGTATTACTTGTGGCACTTGTGTTGCTACCAGAGTTAGTGCCGGTGGACGTGTTGCTACCAACACTAACACTGCTTGCTACCTGAGTGACACTTGGAGTTCCTCCTCCAGTACTAGTACTAGTGTTACTGCCAGTAACACCCCCAGCACCACCACAACCCCCACCCCCACCACTGCTGCCTCCCCCACCACCACCACCACCACCTCCCACAGTTGTTCCACCACTGACTCCACTCCCAGGCCCTGTGCCACCTCCAGTCCCAGTATGGACATTGTGAGTGCCAACTAAACTAGGACTAGTATGTTGTGTCACACTAGCAGGCAATGTGGATCTGCAAGAACACACACACAAAAAAAAAGAGTAATTAAATATTAAAAATGACAAGACTTTTTTACATTTTCTGAGAATTTTTTACCACACTGGCCATCTTGTACCAAGGTGAGTGACCCCAAAAATAAATATTCATCTCTTTCATCGAATAGCCGTCTTGTAAATATATTGTGTAAAAACATTATAATTTAAGTGACGCTACAAATTCTAACATCTTGAATCCTCCTTCAGCGCAACATACTTCACACCTCCATTACTCAAGTCCAACCAGTTTTCCCTGAATCCCTTTATAAATGCTACCTTGCTCACACTCCAACGACACATCAAACCACTCTTCTCCACACACCCTGATCTGGCTCATTCAGACATACCTGCTAGATGCTGAAGCCAATACCAATCAACACTTCTTACAAACCCGTTTTCCATTCCTTCCTGGGATGACTCCTACCACTTCCTTCTTTCACCCCAACCCCCTTGGCCATACTATCCTGTTTTATCTTTTGTTTCTCACCTCTCCAATAACCTATCCCTGTGTATCCTATCAATTCTCCCTGAATATTTTATACATTATCATCATAACTCCCCTGGTTCTTCTGTCCTCCAATACTGTTAGCTTTAATTAAATTAGCCTCTCCTTATAGTTAATGCCACTTAATTCAGAAATAAACCCCTCTCTGTGTGCATGTATTCTCATGCATGTGTACCTTTAAGTACAGTAGGGCCCTGCTTTACGGCAATTCACCTTATGACCAAAACTCACTATACAGCTCCCCCCACCTGACTAATATGGTCACTGCATGCCCCCTGGTGTGTTTAAATTCTCTATGAGCTCCATGTCTCTCCATTATGTCTGGAAACTTTCCAAAATTTCAAGTGTTTTAAAGTTATTGTGCATTTTATATGTACTCTGATAATTACACTTGTGTACCTGTACCTAAATAAATTTACACACTGTGCTGGTGTACAGGTACATGTTAAAGAGTGTCCCTGTAGTCTTGATGCCATATTAATAATAATAATAATGATAATCACTCTTGGGTACATTAAATGTCTTAATTTATGTTAATATAGGCATTTTCGTTAATCCATGTATGATATTTTCTTCAAAATTACATAAGAAACACGTTACATAGCATATAAACATGATACATACACCCACAGTAGAAAAAATCTCACAAATATGAAGTGTGGTAGCTGGGCAAAGAAAATATTCAGTTTTCTCTAGTCCAGCACCAGAGAAAATAAGTATCAATGCGCATTTGGCATAGTCACTCCCCTTAATGCAATCGGCTTTGTTTACAATTCTTGGCACGATTTCTTCTCATCACTTCTATATCGTTTATGATGGCATCTAATGGCAGTTGTTGGAAATGATTAAACTCAGTGAACAAGGTATGTCAATGGTAATAATATTGCTCTGGGCCACTTTAAATATTATATATTATGTTTAGGTGTGGGAGCCAGGCGAGCTACATTGCTGCACCTACCAGCTACCAATACCTTACTTCCTATGAATAAATACTACTCACCTCTCACCCTACATTAAGACTACACATAATTTAAAGTAACAAGTGTACTGAATGTGTATTTTATCACTTGGGGCTACTTCAAATATCGTATATTAAGTTCAGGTGTGGGAGCCAGGCAGGCTACCTACAACCGACTTCCTACAAATAAATACTACCTCTCACTACATTAGGACTACAAATATTACAAGGTAAGTAATGAATGTCCTAGGTAGTAGGTTGGTAGACAGCAACCGCCCAGGGAGGTACTACCGTCCTGCCAAGTGAGTGTAAAACGAAAGCCTGTAATCGTTTTACATGATGATAGGATTGCTGGCGTCCTTTTTTTTGTCTCATAAACATGCAAGATTTCAGGTACGTCTTGCTACTTCTACTTACACTTAGGTCACACTACACATACATGTACAAGCATATATATACACACCCCTTTGAGTTTTCTTCTATTTTCTTTATAGTTCTTGTTCTTGTTTATTTCCTCTTACCTCCATGGGGAAGTGGAACAGAGTTCTTCCTCCGTAAGCCATGCGTGTTGTAAGAGGCGACTAAAATGCCGGGAGCAAGGGGCTAGTAACCCCTTCTCCTGTATATATTACAAAATGTAAAAGGAGAAACTTTTGTTTTTCCTTTTGGGCCACCCTGCCTCGGTGGGATACGGCCGGTGTGTTGAAAGAAAGAAAGAAGTAATGAATGTACTTTGCATGTATTTTACATTTTATTTTTTTAAATACTTAGTTCTACTCTTAGCTTAATATATGTTAGTGTAAACTTGTTATCTGGCATTCATATGCATTTATAAGTGGAAAAAATGGCATTCTGCTTTCCAGAGATATCAGCTTTCCAGCAGTAGCCTGGAACCTAACCTGCCGCATAAGTGGGGCTCTACTGTACTCGCCTGTACATGGATGCAGAGGTAAAGTTGTAGCTCCTGACCCTGCCTCTTGCCAGGTTCACTTTATCTTAAGTTTGAGGGCCCCATTGTACCTCTTCTGCCTCCACCAGCTTTTTTTATAGCAATCATTCCACTTCCTAACCATATTAAGATTGATGAAATAAATCCTGACACATACTTGTCTTTACCTTCAAGCTGTACCTCAGAGCACAATAGGGCCCAACTTATACGGCAGGTTAGGTTCCAGGCTGTCGCCGGAAAGCAGACATCGCCGGAAGGCAGAACGCCATTTTTTTCCATTTATAAATGCATATAAATGCCACACAACAAGTTTACACTAAATTATATTAAGTTACTAATAGAACTAGGCATTAAAAACACACAAAGTAAAATACATTCACAGTAAATTCATTACTTATCTTAAAGCATTTGTAATCTTAATGTAGGGAGAGAGGTGAGTAGTACTTATTTGTAGGAAGTCAGGTGCAGGTAGCCCAGGTGTAGGTAGCACTGGCTCCCCGTCTCATACTTAATATACGATATTTAAAACATCCCAGAGAGGTAAAATACACATACAGTACACTCATTATTTACCTTAAAATATGTGTAGTCTTAATACAGGAAGAGAGGTGAGTAGTATTTATTTGTACAAAGTCAGTGTAGGTAGCCGGTAGGTGTAGCCCGCCTGGGCTAAACCTACCAGCTACCTACACTGTGGCCCAGAGCCATATTATTAACATCGACATGCCTTGTTCACTGAATTTAATCATTTCTAACAACTACCTTTAGATGCCATCATAAACGAAAGTAGAAGTAATGAATAATTCATTCCGAAAATTGTAAACAAAAGCGGAGTGAGGGAGTGGCTGGGCCAAACGCAGATTCATACAAGTTTTCTCTGATGGCTGAGCAGAGAAAACGTAATGTTGTCCCTCCACCCGGCTACCACACAGCTCCACAATAATTATTATCAGAGCACATATAAAATATGCAATAAATGCCAGACAACAAGTTTACACTAACTTATATTAAGTTAGCAATAAAAATAGGCATTAAAAACACAATAAAAGGTAAGATACACACAGAGTACACTTATTACTTGCCTTAAAATTAATATTAATGTGTGAGAGGTGAGTGGCAGGGTGTTTATTGAATAAAATCAGAATGGCACACCATCATCCTCTAACTTGGCACTTAAAGCAAGAGGCTTACGACTTCTCTTTTTATTACAGCTAACCTTAGACGCCATCGTCAATGAGAGCCAACTAGTTAACGAAAGAGTAAACGAGAGAGAGAACGAGATACAGAGTTGAGACAATGTAAGAACACAAACTGAACAGGTAGTGGGTGATCACTTGGTCAGGCGAAATAAATGCGAATTAATGTGTGTCTACTTTTAGTTCATTCACGTCCATTTGTAAAAGTTTGTACAACATTTACCTCAATATTTTTTTATTTTAATAATAATTACCTCACAATACAAATACTCTTACATTGTGTACAAGTTGTACAAGTTAGTTCAGAATAAACAAACAGCAACACACCATTTTTAGAGTGAATGAAGATAATAATATTAATAATAATATTATTATAAATATTAATAATAACAATATTATTATTATTATAAAAAGCACTAAACCCACAAGGGTCGTGAATTGCTATACATAGAGTAAAGGCATACGAAAAGAATATTTTTCTACAGTTATCCCCCAGTTTGACTAGAGAAAACGTAATTCTTCCGACACTACCTACACAGCTGCTTTGTAAACAAATCTCATATTTACATAAATTTTTATTCTGTGAGTGTATGTATCATGTTTATATGCTATGTAATGGGTTTCATATATAATTTTGAGGAAAATATCATAGATGGATTACTGTAAATGCCTATATTGATGTAAAATAAGACATTTAGTGTGCCCAAGAGTGATTATTATTACGTAGTATTGGCATCATGAGTAGAGAGAGACTTAGCGATTTTAATGTGTACCTGCACACCAGCACAGTGTGTAAGTATATTTTGGTACAGGTACACATAAGTATAATTATCAGAGTACATATAAAATATGCAGTAACTTTAAAACACTTGAAATTTTGGAAAGTTTCCTGACATAGTAGATGTGGTCACGGAAAATGTAAACAAACCGGGTGGGGGACTCCGTATTTGAAAGACCGCTTGCCGTATAGCAAATTTTGGTCATAATTTGACATGGCCGTATTAGCGGAACGCCGTAAAGCGGGGCCTTACTGTACCTGTTTCTTAAACAGACTGTCCCTGTCTGACCTATCAATGCCTGAGTATTCTGTTTGTTGTTATCAAGCATCCCCTGATCCTCTGTCCTCCAGGGTTGTTAGATTCGCTTACTTAAGCCTTTCTTTGTAGATCATACCCCTTAGCTCTGGAACTAGAGTAGCTGCATGCACCTATACTTTCTCTAGCTTCTTACCATGCTTCCTCAGTAATAGATTTTGTATTGGTGCTGAATACTCAAAAATGACCCTGACATGTGTTATATACAACACCTGGACTGAATCTTTGAGACTTCCCAAGGCCACTCTTAGATTTGCCAGGCAAGGGTTAGCTAT